GCAAAACACTAAAATAAATATCAAAGAAATAATACAGTTAAACAAGAAAGTAGCCTAAATAAGAAAGTTACACCCTGTCTACCGGACACGAGTGGTGCGGCGTGACAAAATACTACTAAAGAACTCATTATAATTAGTAATGCTGTTTACACTGGATGCGGCGCAACACGACATGACAAATCCCCGACAGTAAACTGCCTCGTCCTGTTTATGAGGTACTGACACAAAGTTCAAATGTCCTGTGTAGAGACTCAACCTGTTGAGGCGGTGTCGTGTCAGGTGTAGACACGGTTCACTGTTCCACAGCCAAGCAAGCGGGCGCATTAACTCCTCGTCTGCACGCGCTCTCTTTGAAATAGGAATCGTTGACACATTTCTTGTTAACATCCATTTATCGCTGTCTCGTTTGTATTTGGCCAATTTGGAGAAAGCATCACCAAACCTGACCAGCCAGGCGTTTGCGATCACGGGAACTTGAAGACACTTGTACAAACGCGGATGGGTGACATGAATGGAGATGGCTCCAGATCGGCAATGTAGTATTTGGTTTCCCAACAAGGTCCATCGCCCAACATAAAATGAATTTACTGAATGCAGAATAAACTATTTTCCTGCGCTCAAACCTGCCAATCTAAAGGAAACGCGGTGTATGGCGTTTGAGGTGATTTGTGAATTACCATAGAATTATAGTCTAAAAACAATTTGCAACTGTTACTGTTATTACATTTGTACACAAAACTTAGTATTATGCTTGTTATAAAGTATGTGACGTCACGTGCATTACCGCCGGTGGCAATAGACAACCGTCACAGCCCTAGTCCTGGTACAATATTTCTATCAACAAATCATAAAGATAGCGGAAGAATTAGGATTGTTAACCTATCGTCATATGTCATCCTGTTGTTTAAGGACCAACAAAAGAACAATTTTTGCATGGCAAAATCACAAGGATCATTGTGACTGTTGACTTACCAGCAGGGATCATAAGTGAGAGGGTAGTCGCTGAAGCTGACTTGATAACTTTGTTAAGTGGGCGTGATGTGTGTTTCTCTGTATCTCCTGACAGCAGTCTGTGGCGAGCTCTACGAGCTGCCAAATCACTGATGGCTTTAGGAGTAGAGTTTTCAGATCCTTCAGCATTGTAGCGAGAAGCTCGATCCAACACGTCACCAGAACTACCAGCTGAAATCACACAAACGAAAAATTAGCAGAGATATGACTACAGAAAATAGCAACCTATCAGAATGGCCCAATATGGTGTTATTTGAAATAATAAATCCCATTCATTTTTATGTTATTTTTATTTTTACATCTCATTAAGTTTAGGGCCTGTCTTTTAACAATTTTCGACTAAAGCTAGAACAGATACAAGTCCCCAGAATAATAATTGAAGACTGACGTGTGACTGCGGATTGGCTGATCTGGCTGGAAGTGGAGCCTGGTGTGGTTGGCGATTCATCCAGCCTGAGCTCTCTCTCCACAGGGAGCTCTGGTATGGCCTGAGGCAGATCTTCCCCACGAGGGCCCCTCACAGTGGTCTTCCTGCCCCCCACACCACCATCCTCTTCACTGGAAATGGCGAATCGCGGCATTTCGATGATGGCCGAGCAGCAGCGCCGACGTACGGTCAGAGGCGGGCTGGAGTCGCTCTCGGTGTGAGATGACTCGGAAACAGAGAGTCGCTTCCTTAGGCTACAAAAGCCCAAATGTCCAGTTCATTACACCATGTTGAACAAATGGCGAATGTATTTTTCAAAAATACATGACTATGAAATCTATGATTTGTTTATCAGAATCATTTCAGGTTATTCACTCACATCTCAGGTGAGCCCACCAGCCAGCTCCGGTCTCGAGACTTTAGGCCACTGAGACTATCGATACGCTCTCCTCCCTCTTCACTAAGACTGCGCTTAGTGGGAGGAGGGGTGCGCTTCTCCTCATGCAAGGAAAGACGCTCCATACTACTATATACCTGAAAAGGGCAGACCGACAGGTAGAGATGGAGAGGAGAAGACAGATTCAGTTAAAAAGGCAAACAGAAACAGAAGAAAAAGCAATACTGAAAAGCAGTACTTTTGCTGTTGTTAAGAGTGTTAGCATGTTACTTCACACCTTGCTGAATCGTGGTGAACAGGAGGAAAACTGACGGATCTCCAGATGGTCATCATCATTTGTGTAGTCCTCTTCCTCCGAGTCCACGTGATGATACCGATCTGAGCGTGCTAGAGGGTTGAAGAAAGAAATTTCAAACAGTGTTTTAGAAAATGTAAGCCCATGTGGTGTGCATCTGTATTGCAGGTAGAGAATAAAGTGTCTTGTTATAAATTTCTCTACAGTCTCTGCAGCCTGAATACGTACTGTCAAAGTAGCTAGTGTCATCCTCTGACTCCAGCTGAGGAATGAACTCTGCCTTCTGCCTCAGGAGACTGTTCCAGTCCAGATCAGTAAAGAAACGGTGCTGTTTCACCTCAAACGCACTCCCTGTGAGACAGGGAGAGAGAACATCTCTTCAAATATTTCTCAAAAACAGAGATATAGGATAGCATTTAAAAAAAAGTCTTCTTTCTGTTCAGGTTTATTCATACACTATTAATCTCAGCAGATCAGTCAAGTCACTCTTCTAAGACATAACCAGGGAGGAGAACCATAAGAAGTCAGAGTCTGTGTAAGTAAGTTTGAGTTTGTGTGCTAGAGGACCTGTTCCCAGACGCTCCAGAGGGTTTTGCCGCAGTAGTTTGGAGATGAGATCTTGAGCATCTGGAGGCAAAGCTTCATCACCTTCTGGCCAGATTATCTCATCTATTGAACCACACATACAGAATCATATTTCTGAAAGTACTCTCAACAACAACAGAATTAGGTTCACAGAGTTTTTTGATATCTTAGATGACACAAGAACAGCCTGAATTTAGGAGTGCATTAAGTTTTCCCAAATTAATTAAAGACTGGTAAAGCAGATTACACTGATTAGGAAAGTAAGACTAAAAATGATAAATTACTTCATATACCATACAAAAGTCTTGGCACTTATTGGGCACTTATGTTTGTATAGTGTATGCATCATGTTTCTCATGATGAAATTTTTAAGAAAATAATATTTTTTGCATTTTCTTCCAGATACAACACAAACCACTGATGACTTGTCCAAACAGTTCCTCAGGTGTATCCCCAAAAAAGGGAGCACATCCCACGAGAAACTCATACAAGATGACTCCCATGGCCCACCAGTCCACTGGCTTTCCATAGCCCTGCCTCAGAATGACCTCAGGCGCTATGTATTCAGGAGTACCGCACACCTGATGGAGAGAGAAAGAAAGAGTTTTGAGACTACACAGTTTCCTTTAATAAATCAATAAATAACAATGCAAGAGACAAAATGCAAAGTCTCTGTACCTGTTTGTCCAGAAATTCTCGGGTGTCTTTTTCAATGTGGCCCTCATATAGATTGGTTGTTAAGCTCATTAAACCAATCTTGGACAGGCCGAAATCTGTCAGTTTGATGTGTCCCATTGAAGTAATCAGGAGACTGTTGAAAAACAGGCCATTCTTTATCCTGACATCAGTGAATATGAAAAGGCCATCCATTTATCTAAAAAGCTGTCTAAACCAGTGTTTCCCAACCTTTTTTCTACCGCGGCACAGTTTTAATATGTACATTTTTGTATTTTTTTTAATAATTAAACATTGCGTCATCAGAGTTGGTATTTTGGCTTTATATATGATCAGACACTTGCACTTAATTTCTGAAAATCATACTCAACTGGAGTTAACAAGGTTTTTGACAACCCGAATGACGGAGATCTGTGTTTTGTCCATCATTAGAACGGCCGCATCTGAATCAGTTAATTAATCGCATTACGTTTTCATCAGTTTGCAGGTTATAACGTTTATTGTAGCTATATGGGTGCTCTGTTTCACTTATTGTTTAACCCTTAAATGCATGAATGTTTCGCCAACCATTATTACATATTCGGGTCTTTAGCGACCCAGACCTATATATCCAGCACGGATGGACCTCTAACTGCTGCAATAGCAAAAAACTCTCTTGATATTTTAAGAACAATAAAATAAAGCATATTTTGCTTCCTTTTGAAACTTAAAAGGGTTAAATTTGAGCAGATGATTTTACAATCGCTGTCATCGTCAGACGCACTTCCACAGTACATTCAGTATCTGCCTCACATTCACGATCTTAACCATATTCTCAAAACCTTCGTTTTCAATGACTTCATGTTCAATATTTTGATCACTGGCAGCTTATTCACCACATCTAGCATTAAATGGCACTGACATTTATATTTTATTGCGTATAGTAATTGCTCTGCAGTAAAGTCATTCAAACCAGTTCAGTTTTTGCTGATGATATTCGTTTGTTTTATGCCTGCGGTAATTATGAGTGAAACATCACGTCATCATTGTGTATCAAACAGTGCCACCTTGAGGAAAAAAGATGCATTGCACAAATTGAGTCATCAGATATGTAAATATAGTTGAGCAGGAAAAAATACTTACACATTTACATACCTCGGGTCTGTAGCGACCCTATACACTTTTTACAAAAAATTTATCAGAAAACAGGCATTCTTTTATATTTTACTATTTTTTCTTATATTGTTTATAATGAATAGATTGAGGAATACTAAGAAAGTTGATGTCTAACTTTAAAAAATGAAGGAGGGAGAGGGTAGAGAATAATGTCCCGGGTCGCGGCGGTGCATCTGAATATTGGAAATATTTCTGATTTAAACCGTGAAGGCGAGCCAGTAAATATCATACAAGCAACGTGCAAACTTAATGCAAGACTTATGCCGGTGAACGCCCTTCACCATGAAAGTGAAAGTAAAATTAAAAACTGACGCCGCTTTCGGCATCTGACAACACACTAATTAACGGCGCATATTCTCTCAGAGACGACGAGAGAAGAATCCCCTACTTAATATGCGATATATAACGGTTTTAATTTATATCTTTAATGTTTCTCTTGTAGCCTGTACATAGTGAAAACAATGAGAAGAAACGTATTTCGTGTTGAACAGGTTGTTTTTGAAAGTCAGAGCTTAAAATAAAGCTGCTCTTAAGTTTCATTGATGACTGAAGTGTTGACAATTTTATTTAGGCTATAGACCTATAATTCATTGTAGGCTATAATAGACCTGTTTTAAAACATGCGGGGCCCCCCCTGCAGTGCGTGCCCTGTGTGCCCATCTGCTACGCCACCATTTACCCTTGCATTGTGAAGAAGTAGACGTCCGTCTTCAAACTGTGCGTCTTGGCACTTCATTCTGAATCGAGGTGGGGTGGAGTTATGAGGTTTGAGTGACAATTTGAAGATCCAATGGCGTTACGAGGTTTAGTCACAAGCTCTTTTGAATGCTTTTAATTGGTTAAATATTTGTAAAACCCACAAACAGACATAACGATGACCAATAGCACTGATTTAAAATAATAATAACGAAATATAATAGAGATAAGGAAGTTTCTGATAATTTTCCACGGCACACCCGACAACCTGTCACGGCACACTAGTGTGCTGCGGCACAGTGGTTGGGAAACACTGGTCTAAACCAAAGACAACTGATCTGTTGCAGCCTAACAAGCATGTTTTATATTCTTAGAAAGTGAGATGGAATTTAAAGGATACATAAAAACCCCATAAATCAATGAAAGAAAGTAAACTACAAACACTGTGGTTTGGTGTTACATGTGCTTACTTGTCAGGTTTCAGGTCTCTGTGCACGATGCCGTAATTATGAAGGTATTCCAGTGCTAGAACAGTCTCAGCAAAGTACATGCGTGCCATGTCCACAGGCAGAGCCCCAATGTGCTTCAGCAAAGTGGCACAGTCCCCACCTTCAGACACATACACAAAACACTTTCAACTACAGCATTACTCTGTGGTGTATCCTACACTGAAGTCCTCCATGAACACAGTCACCCCCCAAAAAGAGTGTTTCTTACCCTCCACATACTCCATAACCATGCAAAGATGTCTCCTTGTCTCAAAAGAGCAGAACATGCTGACAACAAAAGGGTTCTCTGCAAATGTCAGGATGTCTCTTTCCACAAAGGCCTGCTGGATCTGGTTTCGCAGGATCAGGTTCTGCTTGTTGATCTTCTTCATGGCAAATCGCTGACGGGTCTCCTTATGCCTCACCAGAAACACAGCCCTGAGTGGAGAGAGGCATGTATTACTATTGAGCTTGTAACGGCCTTCTAACTCTACGATTATTAAAGAGTGGTGGAGATCCAATTAGATAAGTACAAATTTCAAAGATCTTACCGTGCGTGCACACTGTCGCCGGCGAGAGCGTCAAAATTCGCTCTGGCCGCCCTGCCAACAATGCTGTAGAACGATTCGTGGACGCTCTGACGATCGAACGATTGGTTTTGTATTTAAAGGAGCCGCAAAGGAAACAAGCATGTTGATCTTGTGCAGACTGACCACAAGTAAAGTAATTGGTCAAATCGGTGTTGTTTTGAGCAAATGAATTGCATTCGCGCTGAAAAACAAGCATTCTAGCATGAAAATGCTTGGGAACTAATGTGGTCGGAACCAAAGTTTACAGGACTGCGTTCTTTGGAATCCTCTCAAGCGGAGGACTTCTGCATTCCGATTGGCTGCCGCCCAACCACGTCATGGCTCATTACCATAAAGTTGACCTGACTTCAACTCTCCTCGACGCCAGCTCACATTGAACATGAATGACTACCGGCCACTTTGACGCTCTCGCCGGCAGCGGTGTGAACACACGGTTAGGCATTTTTAGTCATTGCTGCAGTAGTGAAATCCTACTGTCTTACCCATAGGCTCCATTACTGATGAGTTTAATGGTCTCGAAGTCTTCCTCACGTGGAGTTTTAGTTTTGGGTTGAGGCTGAGGCTGGAGTGGTTGTACGGTGGCTCCTCGACTCTGCATATAAACACAAGCACTTGGTCTTAGTGGAATGCTATTATATAGAATCAATAGAGTCATTGAAGACTTCAATTCTATTACTCACGTCTGTGGAATCTGTCTCTGTCTCTGGCGTTTCAGGGTTACCACTGTCATAGCTGCTCAGCTGGGCCATTTCTAGAGAGCATAAATGTCATTGTATTTCCAGATTTAATACAACAAACCTAATAACAGAGTTGCTTCATACAATCCCCAAAAGCTTTTGGACACTTATGCCACACCTAAAAATGTGTCAATGCATTAGATAACAAAATATCAAACCAAGTAGCATTTGTTTCTGCAGATGCCACACTGTCTGAATTTTTTTTTTTTGTATCTCATACAATTTTTAAGTGTAGCCTAGTGTTCAAATGCTTTTGAGGCCACTGTAAGTAGCATTCTTACCCTCAAGGGGGTCCCTGGTGAGGCCCAGCTGGCTGATGATGTATCGAGGGATGTCAGACTTGATGCCCTGACCTTCTTTAGCATGACCTTCAGCAGCCTCTAACAGGTGGTAGAACTCTTCTGGATCAAACTCCTACAACACACATAGGGAGAATTAGGTTCACATGATATGAATATTAAAATCTGACATCAACTCAGTCCCACTCAATCCCCAATCATTTAATTTATTCTAGAGATGTTACTCTATAATTAATGAAGGTATTGGAAAATAAATTTTTGTAAATTTCTGATGCTGTCTGGAATAGACAGGGTTCCCACGGGTCAAGGAATTTCTGGAATATCATGGAATTTTAAAAGGTCTATTCCAGACATTGAAAGTCAGGGAATTTTATATATATTTTTTGTCCAAGTCATGAAATATAAGGGATTTTTGTTTGTTGCTTTAAATTTTAGTTTCCAATTTCCATTTATCAAAATGTATTTTTTTATTGCGTTTTTTCACACGTTTTGCCTATTGTTATGTTTAGGCTATTTTTCAGCGTCATTTTATTCCCTTCCCGTTTGTCAACTGCCCATCACTTAAGTCAAATGCAGTCACAAGGCTGTGCCTGTTAACTAAGGCAAACAAGCCAGGAAAATGTAAATTTCAAGAGCTTTGTTTACAAAATGACCATTTCAAAAACTGGGTGTTAAAAGCAGATGACATAAAAGCAACAGTAAAGTTGGTAAAACTACTATCGAGCTATCAAATATGGGAGAGGGAGAACAACAGTGGCCTTTTTTCTGTTCATTATAGGTCATGGAAATTCAGCTTTTTAGTCCGGGAAAGTCAGGGAATTTGACTTTGAGTGGGACTTTGATTTGGCTTAGAGTGGGAACCCTGAATAGATCAAACATCAAATATTTCAGAACTAAATTGTCAAATTATGATAAACTTATTACTTGTTTCTTAAATCCTGATTTCAGACAAATATTTATAATCATTATTTATTTATTTAGTCATTTAGCAGACGCTTTTATCCAAAGCGACTTACAAATGAGGACAATAGAAGCAGTCAAATCTAACAAAAGAGCAACAATATATAAGTGCAAATGACAAGTCTCGGTTAGCCTAACGCCTATATATATATATATATATATATATATATATATA